AATTTAACATTTCATGTAAATAAAGGGAGGTAATTAGAAATCTAATTTCTACATATTTTAAGTCAAATTTTCCAATTAAAATGAATGCATATAGTTTATTTACTACATATAATATGCACAAACATTTGCAGAACATATTTTACATATTCTTCGATGTTTAAAAATTGTTTTATTTGCATAATTATATACATATATTATTTCTTGTAAGTGTGGTACACACACAATAACAATATCAATCACAAAACAGGATGTTTAAGAAAGACTGTAGAAGTCATTTGAAGAAAATGTCGAGATACTGTGATCACTTACTTGTTGTCATCAATCTATGTGTAGTGTTGGAATGTTTGCTGGGCAGTAGTTTTACAATTTTATTGTGAAAGCTTATATTTTCTGAGTAATGCCCCTTTTTTAGTTTCGAATTTCATCGATGCTCTTGTCATAACAATGGGATTACTGGTACAATTACTGGAAATTTTCTTCTCTGTAACCGATGTATTACTTTATTGATAACTGATTAGATTATTGTGTTTGTGATTGCTGTGCTGAAACAAAGACAGACAGTAAAAAAAAAGACAGTGTTTGAACTATTGTACGCAAGTGTTGTCAGTTGTAAATGTTAAAGAATGGTTCTTTGTAATGAAGTGTTGGCTTTAATCTTAAATTAAGACTGATTTATTTTGATTGCAAATGTTTGTTAGGAAGTATGATAATACTTAACAATGATTTTGATTTTTGTAGCATTATAACTACTTTGAAATAATGATTGTTTCAAATTTTTAAAATGCAAAATATGAGTTTGTTTGTCAGTGTGTGCCTTTGTTGATCATCATGTTGAAAAATAGCCAATTTTTTCATTGGTTACAAATTGTAGATTCAAGTTTTTAAATTAAATTTAAACATAAACCATTTCATACACAAAATCATAAATTTGAGCATGCCATAATAAAGAATACAGACATACTGCATGGATTTGCTGTCTTTCTAAGCTCTAACAGGTGATATTTTTTATTTTAAATTGAATTATATAATTAAAATTGAATTAAATCAACAACAAAAATATAGGAAGGAAAGGTGACTTATCTATTCAAATTATAGATATTTTTTGTGTATCAATCGCAACAAAAGTTTCGTCGAAGGAAACGGAATATTGAAACTTTCAATTTAACAAAATGTATGTCCTCAATTTGTATGTTTGCCTTTGTGTGGATGTACATTTATATTAGATAAATATATATTAAATGACCTAGAAGAGCTTGTTGTTCTTCATTATGCCAGACCTGCTGGAAATTGAAATAAATAAAGTTGCAAGTGGTATCCTGCCATAAGCCTGTCATCTCTCATATAGAAAGATTATAGAAGACCCAAAGATCACCTAAAATGATAGATTACAAAGACGCCAACAGTATACTTCAGCAAAGTTGCAAAAGCTTCTTTATCTTATTTATTTACAGATGAGAAAAAGCTTCTCGGTTCAAAAAAAGATACCCTCATTTCCCTTCTGCAAATATTGAAATAAGTTCCACAGCTCTCTTCTGAAAAGATGACAAAATTCACGTAGAGAAAGTTTTAAATAATCCTTTAAACGTACAGAAATATTGAGAGAAAAAACATTCAGATCACTAAAAAACCAAGAAAAAGCCTCTAGGCTCACTTAGAAATAAAAATAACAAAAATCCTCTTTTCACACAAACAGAAACGTGACAAAAAGTATTTTATCTCAATTAAAGACTGCTGACAAAATAGGGGCGTAGCTTGCCCCTCACGCTGTTGGTTCGAATCCCGACAGGGACTTTGGATTCTTTCATATGAGGAAGCCATTCAGCTAGCTTACGGAACGTCGGTGATTCTACTCAGGTGTCCGTTCGTGCCTGAAATAATTCACGGAAGGGCACTTGAGGTCTCCTCCACTAGTAAAGTTGGAACGTCGCCAAATGACCTATACTGTGTCGGTGTGACGTAAAACCCAATCAAACAAACAAAGACAGACGACAACAAAAATCCTCCCAGCTCACTTTAATGAAATTTAATAGATTACAAACAACTTTTAAGCTAACTACTACAAAAGTGACAAAAACATCTTGGAAAACTCAGAGAAAGGTGACAAAAAGTCCTTATGTTCACTCAAAGAAAAATAACTAAACGCCTTTCAGAGCACTAATATAAACATCACAAAACTAACCTGTGGCTAATTTAAAGAAATATTAAAGAGAACCCATGAAGCATGACGAAGCAGCATATAATTCACTGATATGAAGGTGACAAAGAGAAATACAGGTTATTTATAAAACGTGACATAAACACACAAGCTCACTTAATGAAAGATAAAATGCCTTTATAAATAAAAGGCAAAATATCCCTTAACCAATTTAAATAAGACGTGAACTCAGACAGATTGCTGAAACAACATCGATAGTCAGTCTTAAGATCTTTGCAAAATGTCAAAAAGCCTTTGTATTGAAAAGACAAAAAAAATGTATTACAATTACATTGACCGAAAAATGTGTAGATTTGTACCAAGCAAATGTTATCTTTCCGGCTAAAGAATTATTTTATTCGAAAATATGCAGGTACTCTTGTTTCATCTTTCACTTGGATTTGTGCGATTGTAGTTGATTCGGGATATAAATGGCTCAGGATTTGAAAACCTGACTTAGATAAAGATAAGGTCATCTGGCCTTTAGGACAGAAGTATCATTGTAACGGCTTAAGGAGAGTACATCGTACCTATATTACATCATACTCTTATTAATAACTCGGAATCAAGACATCTAACCTGTATTAAATCATGCTATTATTTATAACTCGTAACAAGACATCTGACCTATATTACATCATGCTCTTATTAATAACTCGGAATCAAGACATCTGACCTATATTACATCATGCCCTTATTAATAACTCGGAATCAAGACATCTAACCTGTATTAAATCATGCTCTTATTTATAACTCGTAACAAGACATCTGACCTATATTACATCGTGCTCTTATTAATAACTCGGAATCAATACATCTGACCTATATTACATCATGCCCTTATTAATAACTCGGAATCAAGACATCTAACCTGTATTAAATCATGCTATTATTTATAACTCGTAATAAGACATCTGACCTATATTACATCATGCCCTTATTAATAACACAGAATCAAGACATCTGACCAATATTATATCATTATCTTATTTATAACTCGATATCAAGACATCTGACGTATATTATTACACTATGCTCTTATTTATAACTCGGATTCAAGACATCTGATCTATATTACATCATGCTTTTATAAATAACTAGGAATCAAGACATCTTACCTATATTTCATCATGCTTTTATAAATAACTCGGAATCAAGACATCTGACATAGTGTACATCATGTTCTTAAAAATGACTCGGAATCAAGACATCTGATCTATATTATATCATGCTCTTATAAATCTTACTAATAACTCAGAATCAAGACATCTGACCTGTATTACAGCATGCTCGTATAAATAACTCAGAATCAAGACATCTTAACTGTATTACATCATGCTCTTATTTATAACTTGTAACTAGACATCTAACATATTTTACATGTCAATATTACACCATGCTCTTATTAATAACACGGAATCAAAACTTCAGACCTATATTGCACCATGCTCTTATTGATAACTCGGAATCAAGACATATGAACTATATGACATCATGCTTAAATTAATAACTCGGAATCAAGACATCTTACCTATATTACATCATGCTCTTACTAATAACTCGAAATCAAGACATCTGACATATATTACATCATGCTCTTATTATAAACCTAGGAATCCAGACATCTGACCTATATTACATCATGCTCTTATTGATTACTCGGTATCAAGACATCTGACCTGTACTATATCGTACTCTTATTAATTACTCGGAATAAAGACATTTGACCTATATTACATCATGCTATTATTAATAACTCGGAATCAAGACATCTGACCTGTACTATATCGTACTTTTATTAATTACTCGGAATAAAGACAGATGACCTATATTACATCATGCTCTTATTAATAACTCGGAATCAAGACATCTGACCTGTACTATATCGTACTTTTATTAATTACTCGGAATAAAGACAGATGACCTATATTACATCATGCTCTTATAATTCTTATAAATAACACTGAATCAAGACATCTGACCTATATTACACACAGCTCTTATTAATAACTCGACTTCAAGACATCTGACCTGTACTTTATCTTACTCTTATTAATAACTCGGAATAAAGACATCTGACCTATATTACAATTATATTCTTATAAATTACTCGGAATCAATACTTCTGACCTATATTACATCATGCTCTTATAAATAACACTGAATCAAGACATCTGACCTATATTACACCCAGCTCTTATTAATAACTCGGAATCAAGACATCCGATATATATAACGTTAAAAGTCGTAATCAAGACATCTGACCTATATTACACCATGCTCTTATTAATAACTTGGAATCAAGACATATGTCCTATATTACATCATGCTCTTATTATTAACTCAGACTCAACCGATCTGACATATATTACATCATTATCTTATAAATATCTCGAATTCAAGACATCTGTCCTATATAACATCATTCTCTTATAAATAAATCGGAATCAAAACATCTGACCTGTATTACAACATGCTCTTATTAATAACTTGGAATCAAGACATCTGACATATATTATATTATTTGTTTATAAATAACTCGGAATCAAGAAATTTGACCTATATGATGTATTACATCATTTTATTGATAACTCGGAATCAAGACATTTGACCTTTATTACATCATGCTCTTATTTATAACTCGGAATCAAGACATCTGATCCATAGAAAGCAGAAACATTATTAAAGCAGGGAGAGATAACAGTCTGAATATCTGAATTATTTTATATTTAAAGGATCCCAAGTTCGGCAAATAGTATTTGGCAATACGTTGACACAGACAATACGTTTTCAACAGTTTTATTTTGTAGAAGTCATAGATAATCGATATGAGTCCCCACACAGCAATCATATACAGAGACCAACAGTATATTTTTTTCTAGATGTTTAATGAAGAAGCATACAATATACAATTGATTTACAGTTTTCACACAATACTTGTACACTATAACAATAAAAGTATATATTTGTCAATACATTTGATATAGAACTTGCTTTACAAATTTCACCTACTAACCATATATTATAAACATTTATATTTTTAATGCATGTAATTCAAAAGCATATAATATACAATTGTTTTACAGTTTTCACACAACAATTATTCAACAGGAAAGTATGTATTTGTCTAGGTATTTAACATAGAAGCATAAAATATAGTGACAATTGTTTTACAGTTTACACAATAATTATACATGATGAACGATGAAAGATTATATTTGTCAGCACATTTGATGTAGAACCATACATAATACAATTATTCAACATAAAAGCATATATTTGTCAGCACATTTGATGTAGAACCATACATAATACAATTATTCAACATAAAAGTATATATTTGTCAGCACATTTGATGTAGAAACATAAATACAAGAGCTGTCGGTAGGACAGCAACGCTCGACAATTCTAAGTGCTTTATAGCAATGGAGCCTTAATAATGTAACATTTTCTAAGTTCACTAAATGGCTATTTTGTTACAAATCCATATTATAGGCATTGGGGAGAGTTCTATTATTCTTACAAAGAAGTGTATAAAATTTCAACGTGTTTCAAAGCAAGATGTCAATGAAATATGAACATATCTGAGGTGGTACTCAAACTTAAATGTAAATTCTAAGTTGAAAAAAGGAGAATAATTCTGTCAAAATGCTTGATACAGTTACCTCCTCCCGTCTACAGGTTGGGGTATGATGGTGAGCAAGTGTGCAAAGTTTCAAAGCCATATATCAATGGACTTTGAAAAAAATTTGAAGTATTACAAAAACTTTAACATAAGTGGTTACGCCGATGTCAATGCTCGGTTGACTACAATAGCTAAATTTATTCTTATCGAATAGTCGAGCTAATAGTACAATTGTTTTACAATTTTTACACAACAACCATTCAATATGTAGGTATAAACATGTATTGATCTAGGCTATTAATGTAGAACAATACAATATACAATTGTTTTTACCATTTTCACATACCAATCATAAACGATGAATATATATATATATATAAAATATAAACGATATAACCATACAGAATACAATAAAAATATGTGTAAACATGCAAAAAGACACGTGTAATGGACTGGTGAATGATAATACATAATATCAAAACTGCTTGTATTAGTGATTGGACTACTTTTGATCAAATGTCTAATTCTAATTTAACCATAGTTTAAAATCTGAAAGGATGACCTTACTTTTTCAGAATTTCAGGTCAAGGGATTTCTCTTTGCCTTTTTATAGCCGATATTCTGCCATATTTCCAATTGACTATAGTATATTATTTTTCTAATCCACAAGACACAATTCCCATTTAAAAGTTACAAAATAAAGATATTTAATTCGAAGTTCTTCCAATTTTTTTAATAAGGGGCTCTTCAATATCATGGTGCTCAAACGTATGAAGATATTATCCTAGACAGTGATTGTTTGCATTCATTCAATCACTACTGAAGTCATGCATTTTTCCCAATATTTAACAAAGCATCGCTCAAGTTCCCAGTTCCATGGGTATGGGTCATGATCCTAAAATCGTAGAAAAATACACTGGATATTATCCCCTACCACTTCCTTTGAATAACTAATACTATAGAGATTTAATGAAAATTATCTAATTTTATTGTTCTTATAAATAGTAAATGTAGAAATTGACTTTAATTATTATAATTATTTTCTATTTCTTTTTTGGGGGGTGTAACAGGGACTGGAGGGAAGGTGAGGGGGTAGCTGTAACGGATAGTATCAGATCCAAGCGTCTTATCCCTATGGTTTCCCTCAGGCTTCGACAGTATTTTAATGGACCGTAGGCTAAGAAACTAAATGTACATGCATGTATAACTGTTTTTGGCCTAGCCCTTTTGGTCAGGCACCTTGTTCACAAAGAAAACATCAGGGTCAGGATCAAATGATTCTGATTTTATTTTCAGTTTCTTATAAAACTAAAACTGATCATAATATTAAAGAATTAAATGGTACATATAAGAATTGAACGTATTTACTTATTTGCAAAGAAACCAACATATTGTTGGATAAAATCAACAAATAATACAAATACAAAAATGATCGGATCAAAAAGAGGATCACTTTTAGGATCAAGATCATAATATGCATCATCTGTAAAATAACCGTATCTTGTAAAAATAGAAAGAAATTTATTTTAAATTTCATGAACATGCTATTTCAAGTCCAGTTTTATCAAGTTAATATTGAATATTGAATCTCTGAAGATAAATAATGGAGAATATTTGAGTTTTAAATTTGATGCTGATCTTGAACCTTGATCATGATCGAACACGGGGCCTGATGATCCCCTATATAAGGGAACAAAATATCACGTTGTAAGAACATTATTGAGAATGCAATTGTGACACATGCAGTTTATATACTCGCCGCATTAGTTATATTATGCGCTAGTAATAATTAACATCATCGGTTTATTGTGATGAGAACATTAACACTATAAGAATTGATTGAGTTCAATGTTTAATATATACGTTTATATATATTATTGTTTTTTGTTCGGTTGATTTTTTTTTTTGTTTTTTATTAATAAAACACATTTATTGTAGAAAACACCAAAGAAAATTTTGTTGAATATAAAAAATGAGAATGCCTCCAGCTTTTCATTGAAAATAATTTTGATTATAAAAAATCTAACAGAACAAAAAATACATTTAAACAAACACAAACAGTTGGATTAAAAAAAAAATGTTTTATTTTTTTTTTCATTTCGTTTTGTAACGTGATTACTTGCTGACAAAGGATTTTATATTGTCTGATAAGGATAATATTTCAACTGATTATATGATGTCACATTATATAATGATGTAACATAGTTATATTCGGCGACGTGATTTAATGTTGAAACGTGATATTCATATGTTGAAACGTGATAATATGCTGTCACGTGATAATATGTTGTCACGTGATAATATGCTGTCACGTGATAATATGTTGTCACGTGATAATATGCTATCTGTGATACTTAGTCACCAATCTGGTGACTGAAAATTGCCGAAAATGTAAATGATCTACAGCATACCTCAATCAGAAACTTTTATTTAACCATGTCTGATACAAAAATAAAACTGTTGATTCTAAAAATGTTCTTTTGAGTACGATTATTCAATTCTCTGAATTCATGAAATCTTCTTTTGATTACTTATCTTATTTTCTTCTTATCATCATTGATGACGTTCTCAATGACAAACGTTTATCAAGCCCATAATGATAGTGTCCACAGCGACCAATGTCGGCACCGGGAAATTCACATAACGTGCCTGGCGTCGCATAGTATCCATTTAGATTGATATCAGTACATCGATTATACCACCAGGCTCCATGTCTGTTCACGGCGCAGTTCTCATCTATCATGTCAAGATCACGGTCGTAAGTTGTAAATGGCATTTGATTATTAAAAGCAAAGCCAGAGATTGTATCTAGAAATAAAAAGACAATATCAATTAGTTCTAGCTATGTCATTGTCATATTACGTCAAGACAGTGTGTATGTTGACAAGCCCAAATTCCATAAACAACAAGTTACTATCCCCACAATCATACAAAACACATCATCCGGTTCATCGCAGATGTTATATACAATTGTTATATTATGGAAAAGCAGGTCCAATATCAGGTCAGTAGAAACACAAGTATTTGCCATTTAGCTTGTTGGTTTTCTAAACCAGTCAGTGGGAAACTTTGCTCTATCAGAGACAAGGTTAATTAGTCATCTTCTGAATGAATGTAGAACATTATGATAAGCGTTACATTGTGCATATTTACTGCTTTCTTCACAAACACATTGAAATTACTATAATATTATGTATAAACAAACACTCAAAGACGATCTCTTAATTGACAGTATAGCGAAATTTAGTATTTTATATCAAGCAAAATATAGGAACATTAAAAATTCAGACATGAATTGATTCTGCTATAAATAAGATAGGAATTGCCAATCTGATTATTATACTATTCTTTTGTCATTGTAATATTGTCTTCTTTTATTTGTTTAAAACATGTTTAATTAAAAGAAGCTGTACGCCAATGAAACGAATAACATTAGAAAAGAATTATGGTTTCAAAACATAATTGTTACCTGACGAAAGTAGCGATAAATGTTAAATTATTTGTCATTGACGTTTTCGAAAACCTAGCTAACACCATTTTTCGGTACGTTACGGATTTAGCTCTGAGGAATGACACCAAAAACACTCACATAACACTATTACATGATATGTCTATCTTTCTGTCATTTTTAATGTTAAAGTTGAAAAAACCTGATGTGTTTGAAAATGACCAATGTTCCTTAAAAAATCTATTGAAAATTTTTCCAAAAGAAACTGTTAATATTGAAAATCAATAAAATTAAAACAGTCTTTGTGGCATCTTCCACAATAAAAAATATTTTCTGCGTAAACTTGTGTTTTTAATACTTTATTTTTTGTAAGAAATAATTCATACAATGATATTAAATTATTTTCTTACAAAGAATAGCTGTTTTACTTCTCTTATAATTAAAAAAGAACAAAAACAATGAGTTTGTTATTACAATCCATTCGGTGAATTCCCCCCAGCTATATACAGAAAGTACCGGAAAACGGCGTTTAGCTAGATTTGCAAATTCGTGAAAAGACGTAGGCACAAAATATAAACAAGGTAATATCCTGACTTTATATCCTGACTTCAAATCAAACTAATAAACCACTATATCTGTAGTAATTGCCAAAACCAACAGATGAAACAAATGGTTCAAGTTATCAGTGAATGACTAGTGTTTTGGGAAAAAATAAAATTGAGAAACAAAAATAAAAACATATTTTAGTCATTATTTACCTTTAAAAAGAGTATAATCTATGTAACATCGCAAGTAAAACATGGTGTCAAATAGTTGTGGGAGATTCTGTTCACTAGTCTTAATTTTTGCTATGAAAATTTAAGATTGTTTTTGCCTCATACTATAACTGCTGTGCTGTCAACAGCTTACTTTGTATTTGTTTAAAAACTGTTGTGCTTTCATTTAGCTAAGCGAACAAAATATATAAGAAAAGAAGACAAAAACTGTCAGCATAAATTACTTTTCATTCCAGAATCTGTGCATGACCCAATGTTTAGTTTGTAATTTGTTCCTTCTGTTAACATAAAGCCTGGACAAGTTTCATGTCCTGTTGTACTATCATTTCTTGTCATGTCAAGACGAATCTCTGTAGAACCTTGTTCAGCTAGTTCTTGTATATACTTTAAACCTGCCAAAATATATCAAATGTAAATATAAATATTTAGAAATTTACCAAGATCTTTAGTAGAATTATGTCTTAAACATTTCATATTACTAAATTACAAACCGTTACAATCATTATAACATTGCGTTCTATTTAGGGACATTTAAACCTGGCAGGTTGCCTTATGAATTGAACTTCAACAATTTATGTTTATCAATATACTTCAACAACTTATGCTTATTAATACACTTTGACAATTAAATATGTGTATTGATACACTTCAACAACTTATTTTTATCAAAATACTTCAACAACATATGAGCCGCGTCACGACAAAACCAACATAATGGGCTTGCGACCAGCATGGATCCAGACCAGCATGCGCATCCGCGCAGTCTGATCAGGATCTATGCTGTTCGCTTACCAACCCAATTACAAGTAGAGAAACTGATAGCGAAAAGCATGGATCCTGATCAGACTGAGCGGTTGCGCAGGCTGGTTTGGATCCATGCTGGTCGCAAACGCACTATGTTGGTTTTGTCGTGATGCGGCTCATATGTCTTTCAATAGACTTCAACAACTTAATATGTTTATCAATAAACCTCAACAACTTATGTTTATCAAAACACTTCAACAACTTATGTCTATCAATTGACTTCAACAACAACTTAATACGTTTACCAATACACTTCAACAACTAATATAAGCAATGCATTACGGTCAACAAGAAAAATTCTAAGTGTTTTCGCTAATTAAACTTTTTGTTTACTGTAAGCAAAATATTTGTTCCATTGTAACGAAACCCATATTCATGTTTCGATTGCAACAAATGACGTGCGTGTTAATTGCGGCCTAATTTCTTTAGGGATTCTTATTTTCTCTATTGTACCAATAACTGTACTACATTTGTTTTAAACTGTCAATGCTATCAGGAATGCAATAGTTTTACCATACCTAGCCAAAACTCTCCGTCAACGTTCCCAAAGCCATTCTCATACTCAGTAAAGTTGCGATAAAAGTCCACTGACCCGTCTATTCGCCTATGAAATAGCTAGAAGAAACGCAAACAGGTTGAGCGCTTACGAATTATGTTTACAATTATTACTTAAAATTATTCTAAGTGTGTGGCTGTCTAACGTCAGTTTTATATAGCTAAGGGTTATATTTAACTTCAAAAAGAAAGATGGACAAAAGTCCTTTATCTTTAATTTGCGGTTAGGAACAGACCTTCTATAATTCTAGTCATTTATCTGCCCTATTACAATTGACTTATTGACTTCAATACGTGGTTGTACACTTTATTACATGCTTTTCTGTAGATACTGAAATCATTTCACAGTGAAATGATAAAATATAATATAATAATAAATATAAATAACCAAGCAGCCAGACTGTAATTCATTGCGGATGAAAGGTATCCATCATATGTTAGTGTGGAAATATCGTTATTAATACGAATATTAAAACCAAGCAATATACTCTGTGGAATTTTACAAAGAAATTATATCTAGAAATTGGAATAAAATGCAATTTGATATGACGTCTATTTGGCACTATTTGATTGGTTATTCGCACTGAACAAAAATATCACATCATGAGTAAAATGAATGTTATCATGTGAGTATGTGAGCCAGGAAAGAACAATTTCCAAATCAAACATTGGTTTATAAGAATGTACATACCGTCCAACCACCGCCTTCGGTTTCCATGTCACAATTCACGGTCAGAATCTTCCCAGATTCCCATAGTTCTATCTCATATTGTCCACTTTCCGCCTCAGGATTCTTATCAAGGATTTCTTTACAATCACTTGGTACTAGGCAAAGATCAAAACAGTAATTGTAACAAGAATGAATGATTCATGCAAGTGTTTTTACAATTAATTCCATAAATTGTGTAAATAAAAACATCAAAAGTGACGTTTATCTATTGCCATTTTTCTATACCCATGTTCCTTTTATGTGCAATGCATGATACAAATTTGTTTCCAAACTTTACATGTAAGTTATAAAACAATTGAAGGCAAAAATCAAGAAATTGCTTAAAATTGAAGAAATTAAGATGTTATTAAAGATTTTTTAGCTCACCTCTGAATAAATCTGTCATCAAAGAATATCATTTCATTTCGAAACGATAATAAAAACAATTTCATAAGAAATAAATAATTTAGCAATATATATGCTTAAATAAGCCAAAAAGGGAAGAAAGTTATCATCTTAAATTGCTAGTTTGTTTTTTTACAGTAATCATGATATTCTGAAAAATAATATACCGTTTGTAAGATCCTGTATTAATTCTAAAGAAATCATAGTGGCAATATACCTGTCTGTTTTCTTTTTTTCATTTTCAACCATTGGGAAAAATAACAAATTCAATAGCTTAAATTAAATAAAAAAATAATTGTCAAAAGACATCATCCAATATATCCTCCATTTTTAGGTTTATATATAAGAACAATTAGATAATAAAATATTAATTTATTTGCTTAAGCATTTCAAGTTCCAAAGTAAATGTTTTGAAAGACGATCTCGCCAGTAAGACAACTTTAATTCTGCCATCATGGCTAATTTAGATGAAGTATTAAGATAGGAGAAAAAGACAGCAAAAGACTGCCATTTTCCTGAAGCCTCACATTTCACCTCTTATAATCATATGGTTTTATCTAAACAATAGTTAATACTTCACAAAGGCCCATTTCAGAAGGATCAATATAACGATCTAGGTACAAATCGTGATCAAGTATCCTAAGTTATATCTATGTGAACATATAGTTCCTTGCTGGCAAAAGTGATAATTGTACAACGTTGTCTAGTATTCTGCTTTTGCTTCCTTTTTGCTACTTGTTATATTAATACGCAAACGTAGGGCAAATTTAACAAGTATCCTCGGTCTAGTGTAGAACATAGTTTTGCAGATGTCATGAAAGACAATACTGTTCAGGACATGGCATCTATCAAACATAAAATATTGCGAAAATATTTCTTAAAAAAACTATGCACAACATTTAATCAAATAGCAAATAAATACGTAAAAAAAAGTTTTTTACACACATATGTTTTTGCATACATGAAAAGTTTATGGTTAATTCTGAAACGAGTATATTATTGATATGAAAGTAAAAACGACGGATAAAGCAAAATGAACGTCGACGTATCCACAAAACTTCATATTTAAAGTCTCCAATACATGTACATGTATCTTGTTTTCAATCATTTCAAACAACAAAAGTTTTCCTTTTTTCGTTCAAAGATGGCGACGTTAGTCTAAAATTGTAGGATACGACACAGCTCTTAATGTAAGATTAGAGCTTAAACACCTTTCGGTCGTGCAAAAACATGTGTATATGAACGGAGAAGAAAACATGCATTAACAGAAAGATTCACGCGACCACGCACATTTGTTGCACATCTTTAATATGCGTGACTCGGGATGAAATATTTTAACAGCAAAATGCAACTGTGGTCCCAATAAACATGATTAATGCGTAAAACTTTAGTAAATTTGTAAACGATATTTAATATTTACCTAACACATAACCAATATACTCATCCTCCGTCACCATATTTTCCTTTGATGTCGTATTACATCCAACACATTTCATTTCCGACGGTTTGTAGAATGCAACAACGCACGTGGCATAGCGCGAACACTGAAGTGCGCATTGAATATTGCTCAGTACACTAAGTACACTGAAAACAGTATCGAACTCATGGCACGTTAACCCGCCTAATGTTTCATCTTTCCTAAAACTGATGAATTCAGCAGAGTAAAGTAGGCAAACCGAAATGCCCAGAGCAAATACGAAAAGAATATTAGCTGACGCCCTGTTGCTCATGATTCGACAACTACAAATATACAGAAGTCCGCGTCTGTTATAAGAAGAGATATTTCGTTACATACTGTCACTGCGCATGCGCATACTATGTTTTTGCGACAGTTCATCTCTCACTCGGGCATTTGTTGTGGCGCCATCTCACATTTGTTCTACTGCGCATGATAACTTTGCATGTCAATTATGGTTAATTTAGGCATCAATTATTCAAACATGATCTTTTTGTCTATCCTTTTAATTTCAGTTAGTTTATATATATTTTGAGTTAATTAAATGTTTGTCAATTCATTACTAATGTTTAATTTGTATAAAACGCCAGGTTGACAGAATGTCTCTAGCTGTCCTAGACGAGATATATTCAAATTAAAATCAGTCAGTATAGACAACAAGCTTGACTTTGCTAATGTTGGTATGATAGGAATCAAAGCTAATAATTATCAGTAGTGGCTTTAATGAAATATAAATTGATTACATGTTCATTCTGATAATAATAATAATAATAATAATAATAATAATAATAATAATAATAATAATAATAATAATAATAATAAAAATGTTCTAATGTATAACATTTTTGTATAGGATGGAAAAAACAACAAAAACAACAAAAAACAATAATAAGCAAATAGATTTCAGATTTTTAGTTTTTAGTTTGTACAAAGTTATTTTAGTTCGAGTATATTGGAACCCATATGCTTATTGAAACACTCTCGAATCCGTTCCTGGAACCAACCGGTACTAAGCAATGAATGTAAAGGTTCTTGCTCAAGGAAACAACAGTTTGCCACTGACATGGTTTGAACCCACGAGGTCAGCAATCCTTAAATTACCGATGCATTAATCACTCGGTCGAGCCGCCATATTAACAATAATGCCAAATCAGATTTGAAATCTTGTATATCTCAGTGTTTATTTAGATGGGTAAAGTTTTACATCGAAGTACAGATTACAAAAGTTTACGTCTAAAAAACTAATAAATCATTTTTAGGCAAGGTTTAAAATTGATATTTGGACTATTGACTATATGTTCTCGACGATTCAATCGAACTGTTTATAGAAAAGAATGACTTTTTTTTTAGTTTTTATAAATTTAAAGGGTACTTATGACAGCGTTGAACGGAAGAGACTATGGACAAATCAGTTTTAAGCAATATAAAGGGAATTGTTAGATGTTATAAAGATCATTTACAATAAAACCAACTCTTATGTATTTTGTGAACGTGAATAAATCGTTCCCTATTTTCTTTCTTCATACTTAAATTATCTGCAAGATTTATGCTAGAAATTAATTTCTTGCACGTTGTTAGATGTGATAGATACACTTTAGATAACAATGTTTTAAGTGTTGTTTAATTGATTGTCTTATTACACAAATTAGGCATAAAACGCAGTTATTCCATTTCAATCAGATTTACAAGTAGCTTTAAAATGACTATGTGTATAAAAAATAGTCCATAGAAATATAGTGTGATCAAAACAGATTAATGAGACAAAGATGTATTAAATTTTCAAAAGCTGAATTTCGAGCTGGACCTGAAATTCGAGCTAGCTCAAAGATCGAAATTCAGAATTTGAAAAATCCGAATATCGAGCTAGAGTTGAATTTCGAGCCAACTCAAAATCAAAATTCAATTTAAAAAAAACGAATTTCTACTTGGAGTAAAATTTTGAGCCAGCTCAAGATCGAAATTCAATATTTTCAAAAAAACCGAATTACTTACTGGAAATGAATTTCGAGCCAGCTCCAAAATCAAAATTCAAAATTTTTGAAGCCCAAATTTTGAGCTGGAAATGAATTTCGAGCCGTCCCGAAGGTCGAAATTTAAACATTTCAAAAGCCGAATTTCGAGCTGGAGTTGAATTTCGAGCCACCTCGAATATCGAAAAAAACTAGAATTTCGAGCTGGAGATGAATTTCAGACCGTTTCGAAGATAGATGTTCAAAATTTTCAAAATTTCGAATTTCGAGCTAGAGTTTAATTTCGAATCAGCTCGAAGTCCGAAACGGAATATTTGAAATAGCCGAATTTCGAGCTGGTGATGAATTTCGAGCTAAGTCAAAGATCGAGTTCAAAATTTTCAAAACCCGAATTTCGAGCTGGAGTTGAATTTTGAGCCAGCTCAAAGATCGAAAATATAAATTAAAAAAAAAATCGATTTAGAGTTTAATTTCGAGCTAGCTTGAAGACCAAAACTGAATATCTGAAATAGCCAAATTTCCAGCTGGAGATGAATTTCAAGCAAGGTCAAAGATCGAAATTCAAATTTCAAAACCCAAATTTCGACCTTTTAGTATCAATTTATTGCAACGAATCTTTTCAAAATGATTGTTTTTCAACGTTTAATTTTCTGTGAACAATTAATATTGACGTGTCCAAGTACGTTACATTCAAGTGCCACTAAATTTCCTTTAAAGCTCATTTTTTAACTTTTGTTTTTTTAAATAATCATTTATATGCCCTATTTTGGCATTTAATAGAATAACAATCTGAAAATGAATAAACAAAAATTCTTTAAAGATACAAATTTGACAGATGTTCTCTTTATAACTTTTTTACATCAAGTTTGGCTGTTTTTTTTCACTGTAGGACAGTCCCATTCAGGGAAATGTGAGTTAGGTTTTTGTCTGTACATGCTACGGACACTGTCTTAGGGTCTCTCGGTGTTTATGTATGTTCTGTTAACTGACCATATAATCAGTATACAATTGACATGTTAATAAAATCGGAAAATATTACAATTATTTAAAGCTTTACTATTTCATGACTTTCTGACAAATGTCGGATCAGACTATTTCTTTTCCCTTAAAGAGAAAGGGTTATTTAGAGTAACACCTTGGTTCTTTGTTTTTATAAACAAAATTCGTATTGCAGGAATACCAAATTTCGTAATTAAGTAATTTACGGACTTGTTATAAAAAAGGCCGTATTTTAGTAAAATACGGACCTGGTAAAACAAAGTTGCCCTTTATTACAAATGTACGA